CAGCATATTCACTCCAATATCTGTCTGTCTCTCCTTGAGTTTCTCCAAGTTTCTTTAATGCTTGAATTCTATAGTGCTGACTGTTGTATCATCATATATGACATATATTTTGAAGATCAAAAAGGTTTGTTATTCACTTACTAGCAAAGCATAAGACACAAGGCTTTAACCCATAATGCAAAAAATTGTTCTTTTTGTTATTTTCGGTGAACCATTTTCAATTTTGTTGCGTTAACGACAGCTTTTTGATTTTGTGGCGAAAAAATTGTCGCCTTGTTAATGACTAAACTTCCATCCATCATGTGTAAGATGATAAGTTTTGCTCCTGTTCTGAATTCATCCATTCTGTCAGATTGATTGTGACGCTTTTATTAAAAAAGTTACTTCTCTAGGTGGTGGTTTAATTAGTCTTGAAAATTATTGCATTTCACACATTCACTACATATGTTACTGATTCATTTCGTTAATTTGTTCAATCGAGCTTGATAAAACTTCTCGGACCAGATATTTTTTAATTCGAAAAAAAATTCGTAATAATTTGTGCGACGTAGGCCCAATTTTTATATGTAGATCAGTGATTCTTTTAAGGTTTGTTTTTGTGTTCATTCTTCTGCCAGTGAAGTGATGATTTAATCGCTTCTTCTAATTATGCTCTTATCTCTAGTTTCTTTAGAAAATCTATTTTTCTGTGACTTTTTTTTCAAGAAGTAGAAAAAAATTTTGTGTTTTTTTTTCTCAGCATATTCACTCCAATATCTGTCTGTCTCTCCTTGAGTTTCTCCAAGTTTCTTTAATGCTTGAATTTTATAGTGCTGAGTGGTGTGTCATCATCTATGACATATATTTCGAAGATCAAAAAGGTTTGTTATTCACTCACTGGCAAAGCATAAGACACAAGGCTTTAACCCATAATGCAAAAATCGTTCATTTTGTTATTTTCGGTGAACCATTTTCAAGTTTTTGCTTTCATGACAGCTTTTTGTTCTTGTGGCAAAAAAATTGTCGCTATGTTAATGCCTAAACGTCCATCTATCATGTGTAAGATGATAAACTTTGTTCCTGTTCTGAATTCATCCATTCTCTCAGATTGATTGTGACGCTTTTATTAAAAAAGTTACTCCTCTAGGTGGTGGTTTAATTAGTCTTAAAAATTATTTTTTTTTACACATTCACTACATATTATACTTATTCATTTCGTTAATTTGTTCAATCGAGCTTGGTAAAAATTCTCGGACCAGATATTTTTTAATTCGAAAATAAATTCGTAATAATTTGTGCGACGCAGGCCCAATTTTTATATGTAGATCAGTGTTTCTTTTAAGGTTTCTTTTTTTGTTCATTCTTCTGCCAGTGAAGTGATGATTTAATCCCTTCTTCCAGCTATGCTCTGATCTCTAGTTTCTTTAGAAACTCTATTTTTCTGTGACTTTTTTTTTCAAGAAGTAGAAAAAAATTTTGTGTTTTTTCTCAGCATATTCACTCCAATATCTGTCTGTCTCTCCTTGAGTTTCTCCAAGTTTCTTTAATGCTTGAGTTCTATAGTGCTGAGTGGTGTGTCATCATCGATGACATATTTTTTGAAGATCAAAAAGGTTTGTTATTCACTTACTGGCAAAGCATAAGACACAAGGCTTTAACCCATAATGCAAAAATTTTTCATTTTGTTATTTTCGGTGAACCATTTTCACCTTTTTGCGTTCATGACAGCTTTTTGTTCTTGTGGCGAAAAAATTTTCGCTATGTTAATGCCTAAACTTCCATCCATCATGTGTAAGATGATAAGTTTTGCTCCTGTTCTGAATTCATCCATTCTGTCAGATTGATTGTGACGCTAAAAAGTTACTCCTCTAGGTGGTGGTTTAATTAGACTTGAAAATTATTGCTTTTTACACATTCACTACATATGTTACTGATTCATTTCGTTAATTTGTTCAATCGAGCTTGATAAAACTTCTCGGACTAGATGTTTTTTAATTCAAAAAAATTTCGTAATAATTTGTGCGACGCAGGCCCAATTTTTATATGTAGATCAGTGATTTTTTTTTAGGTTTTTTTGTTCATTCTTCTGCTAGTGAAGTGATGATTTTATCGCTTCTTCTAATTATGCTCTTATTTCTAGTTTCTTTAGAAACTCTATTTTTTGTGACAATTTTTTTCAAGAAGTAGAAAAAAAGTTTTGTGTTTTTTTTTCTCAGCATATTCACTCCAATATCTGTGTGTCTCTGCTTGAGTTTCTCCAAGTTTCTTTAATGGTTGAATTCTATAGCGCTGAGTGGTGTGTCATCATCTATGACATATATTTTGAAGATCAAAAAGGTTTGTTATTCTTTTACTGGCAAAGCATAAGACACAAGGCTTTAACCCATAATGCAAAAATTGTTCATTTTGTTATTTTCGGTGAACTATTTTAAACTTTTTGCTTTCATGACAGCTTTTCGTTCTTGTGGCAAAAAAACTGTCGCTATGTTAATGCCTAAACAAACATCCATCATGTGTAAGATGATAAGTTTGGTCCTGTTCTGAATTCATCCATTCTGTCAGATTGATTATGACGCTTTTATTAAAAAGTTACTCCTCTAGGTGGTGGTTTAAATAGTCTCGAAAATTATTATTTTTTACACATTCACTACATATGTTACTGATTCATTTCGTTAATTTGTTCAGTCGAGCTTGATAAAACTTCCCGGACCAGATATCTTTTAATTCGAAAAAAAGCTCGTAATAATTTGTGCGACGCAGCCCCAATTTTTATATGTAGATCAGTGATTCTTTTCAGGTTTGTTTTTGTGTTCATTCTTCTGCCAAAGAAGTGTTGATTTAGTCGCTTCTTCTAATTGTGCTCTTATCTCTAGTTTCTTTAGAAACTCTATTTTTCAGTGACTATTTTTTTCAAGAAGTAGAAAAAAAGTTTTTTTTTTTCTCAGCATATTCACTCCAATATCTGTCTGTCTCTCCTTGAGTTTCTCCAAGTTTCTTTAATGCTTGATTTCTATAGTGCTGAGTGGTGTGTCATCATCTATGACATATATTTTGAAGATCAAAAAGGTTTGTTATTCACTTACTGGCAAAGCATAAGACACAAGGCTTTAACCCATATTGCAAAAATTGTTCATTTTGTTATTTTCGATTTTGTATTTCCCTAAAATTTGTGGGATCAAGTGATTTTCCAATATCCGTTTAAGTATTTTATAAATTCTATTGCTTTGTCATTCTTTGTTTCTAGTTTTTCCCGAAAAAAAAAGAATTTCGTTGACATACTAACAGGGATATACGTTTTTATTTCTTCTTCCATTTTTTTCCTTTTCTGAAGTCTAATTTCAGATAGTGTATGTAGTATGTTGATGGTTCTTTTCTTTTCACTTTTGTTCTTTTTATTGAGAGATCTAGTTGATCTCTTGGCATCTTCTGCCATACGCATTGCATTGTGAAATCAGAACTGAAAAATCCTTTGTAAATTTATAATTTATGCATTTCGAGCAAATTGAGTTTTAATTTTTTGATGTTTTTACAGTAAACAATTACGTTTAGATAATCTGGCGGTAAAAAAAAAATTCCGATTAATTTCACAGACAGTTTTTTTCGAAATAGGTTTCTTTTTCAACTGTGTTAAAAAGGTTTCAAAAACTCTTAGAAGACCCGTCAAGTTTTTGGTTTTCATGCGCTACTTTTGCGGTTTCAATGTTAATCTTATGCTTAGATAAACGTATTTTGGCAGTCTCCAACTTGAGACGTTGCTGAATACCTGCTAGTAGCTAGCAGAAGCTATCAAACACACACAAAAAATCAAAAATAGCAAAATTGATGTCAGAATCATTGATTTTTTAGATCTGAAATAACCAAGAAAAACTGAATTTCGGATCTGAAGTTTAGAATATTTTAGAAAATTTACTGGATACGGGTCTTGCAAGATCTTGAAATTTTACCCTTATTTGCAAGAATCTTGCAAAACTTTTCAGGATAACCTCCCTCGATCGATTAGGGCATAATCTGGTAAATATTCGAAACATATGCACTGAAAATTCTGCAAAAAACACTGATATTTTTGGCAAAAATTTACGGTTGGTTTTATTGAGGGTATGTGGGCTATGCATAAAAAAGACTTGGGTTAAATTGGAAAATGAGTTATTGCATTAGGTTAAAATTTGAAAACAAATCTTATAGAAATGAAAAAGGAGTAGCCATGTATTGAAAAAGGAGTAGCTATATTGTGGCTGAAAAAAATAGTTATAATTTGTAGTAAATTAGCTTATTTGTCACTTCTTTATTTTCAGAGAAAACAATTTTACTGCAACGCAAACTTTTTTGATGAAAAGAAATATTTTTTTGATGAAAAGAATTTTTTTTTGATGAAAAGAAAGATTCTGCTACCATTAGTTCCATATAGAAGCGAGTTGAGATAGATTGTGCTTAAAGCGAACTTTTTCAAATTATATCCTCGAAAAAAAATTGAGATCTTCCGATTTGTTTAGTAAAATTTTGTTAGCCTTCATTGGTTCGCTAAAAGACGTATAAGCAAGTTTTGATTTCCCGCTGAATGAATTTTGCAACAAATTCGCTCTGAAGCTGAGGACTACACAAGAGGTTGGTAAATTTTTCATCGTACTTAATATTATAAGAAAACTTAAAACGAGATAATTAAATGAAAATGCGAATCCCAAGGATATTTGATAATAACACCTTCTAATGATATTTCTTGGGATACTATTTTTGCTCCACCTAAACGATTGAACAAAAATCCTTGAGCGAAGTTCGAATTTCACTTGTTTTTTTCAGCTGCATTGAAAACAGCATTCTGATTTTTATAACCAACTTTTGACCGCTCCTCCGATTCAACTTGCCCCGTTTCCTTTGCCATCATAACTAAATTCGCCACTCAGACAAAAGCTTTGCCTTAATTTGACACTCAGTTGAAGTTTTATTGTGATTTCATTAACGTTTCCCATTAGTTAAAGAGAGGTCATTAAATTTGGAAGTAGAGTTATTATAAAATATAAACTAACTTGAGTGATGACCACTGCCATTTTTTTTATTCCTTCGCCTCGAAATTGGCGCCTCATCGTTTTCTTCTTCTTGGACTCTTTGCTGATTAGTTCTGCGATAAGAAAAAGTCAATTTTAATTGAAACATGAGAAAATAAAAACATTTTAATGACTTTTCCCGTTCAAAAGTAGGAATCCTGCTCACCTTGAATTGGTCGTTTTATGTTGGTAGGAAATTTTACGATTTCCACTGAATGCAAGTGGAGGCAAATCCATTTGAAAAAAATAAAGCAGATTATTTCTTTTAGGATTATTTAATACAAAATTTGTTTGTATAAATAATCGTAAGCCAAGCTCAATGATCGTAATCGTCAGCCATGAACTTAATGAATGATCAAAGCAATAAAACAAAGGTCTGTTCTAGATACCGTTTTTCAAATAAATGATTTTAAAAACCGTAGTTTCAATTAATTTTGATTCAAATCAGTACAAAATCACTTATAGTTCTGATATTTCACTTCCCAACTTTAAGCATTGATGGATTTTTCGCTTCGGATTTATGTTTTATTTAATAGACTTGAAAGCAGAAATAATGCGAAATTTTCAACGCACACAAGCAAAAGTAAGGGGGAAGCACAATACAGAATTAATTAAATATTAACAGGTGTTCTGCCAAAACAAAGATTTATCGTTTCCTTTTTGATTGGTACTTATTCTAATTATTAATTAATTAGAATAATCTCTCGCTCAAAATTGTGGTGCCTTCAAGGTTTCAAATATGTCCAAACGTTATTTCCCGATATCAAAAATAATTTTAACAACGTTCACTAGCGACACAACATGGTCGAGGCCGACACCGTTAAGGAAATGCGCAAGCACATCGACCTATGCTACAGTCAAAAACAACGCGAACAATTTTCAACGCGGCTGATTCCAGAAAAAAATATATACTTTGAACTCATCGATCACAATGAAAAACAATTGCACAAAGTTATTGCTATTTTAAAGAATTTTGTTCATGTCTAGAAATTTTTTATATTTCTCCTTCACAATATTTCAATATACAGTTCAATATATACTGGAGAAAAACTAATGCAACCAAATAACTTTCAAAATCGAAAAAACCTAGGAAACCTTGTGAGTATTAAATCTTTTCATTCTTTTTGTGAAAAAAAAAACACCTTAGAAATTCAATTTTTCGCAGAATCAATTGACACAGGAAAAACTGAAATTGAATTGTGGAAAACTTGAACATGATCCACTATTATCAAAGACGGAACAAATTTTTGAACATTTTGATTCGGATATACCAAATCACTGAAAGTTTTCATTTCACTTGTTGTTGAGAGATATCAATTTCAGTCGATTTTTTTGCGTGGTTTCAAAATGTTTTTTTTTCCAATTAGAGCTTCGACAAATGAGCTTATTATAATTGTTTTATATTTTATAACTTTTTTTATGACTAACTCTGAAAAAATGAGTGCATAACAATTTACGGACAAAAACTAACGTAGCAGCAAACAATTTTTTCCACGTTTCAAAGAGTTTCATTTCCTTTTTATTTTTATTTTCTCTAAATGCGTAATCAAATGTTCCTTTGTTGCAGCTAACTCTATTTAATGTACAGATAAAAATGTTGGTTAAAACTGAATTAATCTCAAAGATAAAACATCAAAAAGTGAGAGATTATTCTCTCCGACGGAGAAAATCAACGTATCAAGGTCATAGAATGAATACCAGTTAAATAAATAGCAATTATTTTAAAGGTATGACTAAAATACTGCAATTCACAACATTCCACTTAATAGAAAAAAAAATTAAGCTTAATTAAAGGCAACTGGCCCTTTTCTCCTCCTGAAGGAATCTGAAGAAAAATTTTAAGACTAATAAGTTACGAGATACTCGAGTACGTATTTCTGGCACGTACGGTTAATGCTCAGTAAAATAAGCAGTTAAACTAGATTCAGGCATAGTATGGCATGAAGGATTCGGCGAAATTTACCATCAAAAACTACTTTAATAGCAATTGAGTGATAAAGTTAACTGACACTGAAAATGCACTAAAGTTACGTAAATAACGACTAAGTGATATAATTAATTAACACTGAATATTCACTAAGGTTTCTTAGACCAAATGAGAAAGTAATAAGTACTCCGACAATAATGAAGTTTTAAGAAAGTTTTCAATTTTAATTTTTTTCTTCTTCGATAAAACTTTCTAGTTCGGCGTTAAAAAGTTCGCTGTCCAAATCTTCTATTTCGTTGAAACTGTTCAGGGCCTCTCTTAGTGACTGATCTGTTGAAGAAAGAGAAATTGTGTCCGTTGATGAGGAGTCTGAGGCATTGGCTGAATTTTTCGGAGATAGAATCGTAAAAATAGGAGTTCTCTTACCCGAAGGAATTGGAGTGTGGATTTTTTTTGTCAGAAATTGTTTGTTCGTTACTATCTATCGGAATCGCGTTTGATGCTGAGTCAGGCTGGCCGTCTTTGCTATCTATAAAATCTGTGTACACCCTTTTACCATAAAATTGGGGAGGTCCTAAATTTCGGCGGCTCGAGGGTCGGAGTTTAAATTCATTACCGGTGGTAGTGTTTTCCTCCGTACAAGGTTCATGAGCAGCTGTGCTATCATCTGAGGAATCAGCAATCTCGTAGATTGGGAAGTCGACCGATGTGTCTTTCTCTGATTTCTGCCGTAAATCCGACGGATTCTTGGTCTCCGAGACCGATGGGAGTTGTGAGGTTGAGTTTTTCTGTTACTCTGAGTTATTTTAGGGTCTGGAGAAGGGATAGAGGATTCTTGTTGTCTAATACTATCCGAAATTATAAGTTCTCTGATCACTCCCAGTCGCTAAAATCTGATGTGTCTGACCGAATCATCATTGATTCATCACATGCTAAGTAACTTGCGTTTGATGTTTGTACTTTATTGCGTGTTTGTCTGCTTTTGGCGGGATTGGTTGAGGAGTTAGACACTCTCGTCCTTGTGTTGTTGTCTGATGTAGCTGACTCCGTCCGTAATCTAGTCTTCGGACCGGTTTTCCTCGTAGGTTGGGATTTTGCTTTGGTAATCCGCTTTGAACCTGCTTAAAAATCAGGGCTAGGAAAGAATGGAAAAGAGATGTTTCCTCTGAAAGACCGTGTAGTCGATGAATTTGATTCCGGAATTACGATGTCAGATTTTCTGATGATTTTTCCGTCAGACAGTTCTACCGTAGTTTTTGATGAGTTTATATTTTTTGGTTGAGTTCTTTGTAGAAATGGTTTCCATTTATGCTTTCCTTAGTTTTCCAGAGTATTTTACCTTTGAAAGGACTTTGCAGAGGCAAACGGGATGAAGAAGGCTTCGAAGGTGAGGGATAGTCCGACTCGTACCCTTTCTCCAATGGGGACTGGTTTTTCTTTTGGATCTTGGTGTCCAAGTATCCGTCCTCGACTCTGTCGTCTAATTTCCAGTCTAGTGCTCGTTTTTTTGCTTAAGATGGATTTACCGTTGTCTGAAACTCCATCGGATAAATTATTACAAACCAGTTGTTTCCAGATCGTATTAGGTTTTCTACTGAAGTGTAATTCGAAAGGGGAGTATTTTACTTTCGATTGAATAGAAGAGCAAAGATTCCATATAATTTTTGAGAAAACTTTTTCTAAACTAGGTTTTTAGTGTTCGAATGCCTTTGCTAAAAATTTAATTTTTACAAAATGTACAAGATTTTCTACAAGGCCGTTAGGGCGAGGGTCGCCAACTGTACAAAATAAAAATTTAATGTCATTAGTATCGCAAAAAAAAATTGAAATCCTGACCAGTGAAACAGGAAGCACGTGATCAACGCGGAAAGATATTGGAATGCCGTGAAGGCAAAATTAATCCTGAAGAAATTCGATTACTGTGAAATATGCGATTAATGCGATTACTTTGAAGAGGTGGAAGATGTTTGCCTAGCCGATGGAAATTTCGAGAATCTGTCGAAGCATAGTAAAAGGTATTATTTCTTTCCCCAACTGATATCCAATGGGCCAGCAAAATCAAGATTTAATTCCTCATTAGGTTCGGATAATGGCAATAATGCGCTGATTTGAGTACTAGGGACAAGGTTTTTTGTAATCTTACCAGTTTGTGTGCATTGCGAATAATTTATCCCGTGGAAGTAGATCTAACGATTCATGTGAGGCCACCATATACACTGTACTAGATATTTCATTCCGAATTGTCCTGAATGGGTCTCATGTAGAGTCTTCACGACCGCGTTTCTTAAAGTAAAAGGGATTACGAGTTTTCCAACCAAGTATAATAATACGTCGGATTCTTGAAGGTCCTTAATGATTTGGTTTCAATAGTGAGAATTCGCATTAATCTTATCTATTTTATTTTGGAGCGCTTTGGTGATGGGACTCAATATTGGGTCTTACTCTGTTAATAGGGCTACCAACTTGGCATTGAATAACGTGTTTAAGACCAAAGGGCGTTCAGGCAGCCTCAATTTTTAACGATATTTAGTCACTATTTTTTCATGTTCAGATAATATGGGAAATTCGACTGTGACTTCACCGGAAGTAGATGGATTAATTATATTTTGATTATTGGAGACATTTACTGTATTTTTTCACAGTTTCAAGATCCTGTGGACTAATAATTAAACTACGATTAAGAAATAAAAACTGTGAAAAAGCAGAATTTGATAAAAAAATTTTGTGGAATCAATGTTCGAGAAATCCGAAGCAATACATTTAGAGTTACAAAGTTCAGTTCTAGAATGTTTGAGATTGCAAATTGGAAGAGTCGAGTCAATGAATTTATGGACTGAAGTGATAACATAATTACGTAATCTTTCGTAACTGAACCAATAGCGTTACAGTTCATTTTTCCGCTATCCGTTGGATTTATAGCTTGGTTAATTTTCTTGATTGTAGCAACTACAAATTCTTCGTCGTAATGTGATGGGGAAATTGCTTTTGGTGAGGTATATTAAGTCAGAAAAATTAAGTCAGAAAAACCCATTTTTTTCAAGGCTAAGTGTTTTATTGTAAAATAAAACGGTAGAAGCCGATCAACCCAATTTGTTAGGTGACTATGATATGTTTTAATTCCATGATTATGTGAGAGTGCAGAGAGGAAGGCTTTGTGATCTCTAATAGATTCAAATTCCGAGCCATAAAGGTAATTTTTATATGGTTCGACAGCCCAGACAACTCCATTTGTGGAATTTTTGGATTTGTGTGGATTTAAAAATCTTGAAGCAAAAATAACTGTTTTCTAGTTGTTCCCGTGGAGTTGTTCTAGCGAAGCACCAATTTCATTATGTGATGCATCTGTTTTTACACTCGTATTTCGCTTAACGTCGAAAAGAGTGTTTTCAGTAAAATTGAATATTTCTGATTTTATCTTCTCGAAAGTCTTTTTATGTTCTTCGTTCCATAAAATATTGATTTCTTGTTTAGTTAAAGTACTAAGGGATTTCCGAGCGATGCTATCTTTGGGACAAATTTATTATATTGATTTGTTGAACCAAAGAATGATCTTAGTTCCTTTAAGTTTTTCGGAATTGGAATGTCTTTAATGGCCTTGGTTTTGTCGATTAGAGGGGCGATTTCTGTTTTAGATATTTTAAATC